TTCTGCGTCAGATAACTGACCTCTCCAGTCCTCTTACGCAGCTTGTTGCTCATCTAACAGGAAAAAACAAGGAGTGGAAACAGCTGCATCTTCTGACCTGCTCTACCTGTTTCTCTGTGTTCAAATAGACTCTCATTTGATTATGAGTTCTACCCATAATCTGCTTGAGGCTAGCGAACTGAGACTGCTCCAACTGCTGCTTGCCCAGTTTTAAATTAAGTATGATTATGCTGCACCTAGGCTTTGGAATGACCTTCGTGTTGCGAGCCATCAGTATACTACGGTCTCAGAATTCAAGACTGCAACTAAAACATACCTTTTAAAGCAAGCTTATCAGTGCTAATTTGTTTGGATTTCTTGTTGTGCTAGTGTAGTGCTATTTGTGGTATTTTACATTGTGATATTCTGCTACTATGGGTATTTTATACTGCGTTGTTTTTAGGGTTATTGTGATATATGTGGATATTTATATTGCTGTATTGTGCAGTCCTTTGGTACTTTAGAATGTTAATACACCACACTTTTTATTTTATTATTGTCTGAGTTGTCTCATTTTAATTCTATTGTTATGATTAGCCTGTTTTGTAAGGCAACCTTGGGTTTTATGAAAGGTGCCCTATAAATTAAATGTATTAGTATTTATTTGTATGTCTTGCATAACACATCAATCTTGACCTGAACTGTCGGTGGTTGACTTGCATTGTGGATAATAGGTGTCAGGTTTTGACACGGAATAAGAATGTGTGGCATGAAAACAACTCTGGTTCTACTGCATCAATTACAATCCTTTTCTAAAGTGTCTCATGACACATTATTGGAGCTCAAAGCAAAATTGGTGGAATACTACTTTAATAGCTCAGAAAGAGTATCTGTCTGTGTTTTTGGTATGTGTTTAGTATTTTTCAGTGATTTTGTGGTAGGGTTTTGTACAGTCTGCTGACTCAAGACTGGAGAGCAGAGCATTAGATTGATTCAAGATTCAAGATTTTTATTTGCCATTTATGCATAAACAAACAGTCTAGGCATATAGGAATTATTGTGCAGGGCTCTCCTGGAGTCAAGTAAACAGTGAAAAGCCAGAAAAAGAATACCTAGTCTAAAAATAAAGTTACTTTGGTTAGATTGGTGACAAACAGCTCCACTTAAATGCTTAATTTAAGTAATGTTTGTTAGACTAGATGCTTCACACTCCCATTTTTGAGCCTTTTGCAGTTTTTATTCACTGAACAGAAAGTCAAAAAATTCAAATTAGCATTCTGTGCACATAGATCCAACCTGCTGCTTTGTCATTTTTTGATGTTAAAAACAAATGCTTCATTAAAACACATGAAAGGCCTGAAAATGGATCCAATTAAAAGAAAGTAAGAAAATACTATCAATCTCCAAGGCACGAAATCTGTATTTCTACAAAGCAACTGACAATGCTGCTAAAGCCCAGCAATGTTTGCAGTGAGAATAACTGGTCAAACAGTAATGAGGTGTCATGGCTGTCAGGTCAGGCCTCTGAACAGGCGCATGCTGGACCTTCTGGCTTCGGCTGTGGAAGATGATAGCGGCTGAAAGTGTGAGAATATGAATGATGGATCTCCACCTACACAATCTCAATCTGCCTGGAAAATGCTGCTCAAACTGTGAAAAATGTCCATTGACACAGTCTTTTCCTGGACCAGGTGGTGAGGCAGTGGGAACATGGGAAGTGGCCTCTGGCCTACCTCGGCTGTTTTTAGATAAACATCTGTAAGACAGCCTGCAAGTGGTATTCCCATTAATGCATGTGAAAATGCACTCTGTGTGCATTTGTACTATCAAGTCAATCTATTTGTATATTGCATGTGTCTTACACTATGCTGGGAAATTATTTGTTTCCAGGATACAGAGTAGTGAGAGGTTCATTAAAGTGCACTGGACAGCTGGGTCAAGAGAGGAATGGTAACACAGCCCGGGAGACAAATAGCTTGACATTTGCACACAAAACCTGTGTGGTTAAAATCATTGCAGCAGCAGCAGCAGAGGTCCCTGCCTTATTGGAACACTAAGTGCATGCAGTCCAGTATCCCTTCAAGTAATATCACTCTACAGACTACAAGACAGCCCGTGGGAGTGGGGCAGCATTTTATTAAATCCACTACTCAGTAAAAGTGAAGATGCAATTACAGTGAACTAGTCATCACTGTCATTTCTCAAGCTCAAGTACATGAAATTAATAGGAGCCATATGTTTATAAATGAGAAGAATATTTGTCACACTGTGCTTGTATAAGCTATGAGCAACTATAAAGAACTGCAGGTGATAAACCTCACAGCTTAAAAGGCAGATGATCTGTCTCTGTCAACAGGGCATAATAAGTGTGTGTTGTGATGGATGTGTGAGTGTGTGTGTATAGCCTTTAATCTGGCAACAGGCACAGTTTGTGTCAGTGCTGGGGTATGAGAGCTCTGCACATGCTGTAGGTTAGCTGATGGCAGTGTGTGAAGCTAAACTACACATGCTGCAAACTGCTGTGGGCTACTAGAACAAAATGCTGTGTCAGGTTCCAACTAAGTTTCTGTGACAGTGGAACATGAGCCAAGCAATTTACTTTAGGCAACATAGCTGTAGCCACATGAGTAAAGTGCAACTGAGTCAAGATGAGCTGTGGGGGATTGACTTGGGCAATTAACCAAATGTCTTCTTCAGTTACTGAATGCCGATATAGCAGCTGATTATCTTTTTATTATGAAGAGTGGGCTGGTAAACAGATTTAAAATTCAACATTATGACTGTTGGTTACTCTGCAGATTCAAATTTTATAAAATGTGACTAGTGTCAGGTGAACAATCTTTTCTTACTGAATGTCATCTTTTCAGGATTTCTTGGCATTATTATTAATTTATTTTTTAAATAAGGCCGGTCATTTCGTATTTTAAACAGTCCCCATACAGACACTAAAACCAGCAATGAATTGCCTCTACTCATGGTTTGTGACTGTCAGCCTCCAAACTGGATTAGTTTATTCATCTGTGCCATAAGGCATCTGCTATTTTTCAAAAATAATTAAAAAAACACATCATTGAAACACACCGCCACCATTTAAAAACATTGCCCCCAAACGCTCCAAATGACCTTACTATTTATCAGCAGTACAGTAGCAAGACTCAACTGTGCGTGCAATCTCTGTGAAACACAAGGAGCTAGTGGATTAAGGGGCACATCTAAAAAATTTTGGAAGGGGGAGGCCAGGCTGGCACACAGACTCAGAGAACAACTACTGTCTAAAAATCAGAACGAACAACACACATTATACATTTCTGTTTAATAAAAGTGATTTGAAGTTCCTGCTCACATCATCCTGTTTATACATGTTATCACTCTGTACAACCAAAAAACTTAACTTTATGTATCCTTGATACAGTCAAACATGTCGTCTTTATTGTGTTGCCTGTTCTGCGCTGGAAGCCGCCTCAGGTCCAGTGAGAAACACAGACAAGAGATTGCTTATTACATTAGTGGCCCCAGTTCACAGTAACAACAGGATTTTATCTATTCGTTTAAATCGGCAGCACACAACACTAAGAGAGGAGAAAAACATACATTTAATCACACAAAACCTACATATACTTTTAATTTATCCACACACACGCACACACCTATATACAGACACACACAGTCACTCGTATTTTGATTGAGAACAACCACACACTAACACCAGAAACCAGCAGACAATAAAGTAACATTACCTACAGTACAAAAATCAAAAAAATATCTCATAATATACAATTATTATTTACAGGTCAAGTATACACCCTGTCACACTTACTATAGATACTCAGTGTGGATTTATCAGAATGTACATCAGTATGTACAGATTAAATACATCATCTTAAATACTATAAATATAACTACGGTTTGGTCACATAAAGACTATTTGGACAGTTCAATAAATACACTATTCCTCTACTTTGAGTTAGTCTCAATAATTTAACTGAGATAAGCTTTAGAACTTGCTTTGTAATGCAACACAGCATGGACACATGGACAAGACAGAGAGACCCTGGAGTTGGAGTATGTTTTCAATAATATGTATGATATATCGATACTAAATGCCAGTGACATATTGTGCATTTCTGAACCAATATGAGAAGACATTTTTTCACTGAGCAGGTTTCAACAGTGTGTCTATAAATGTTACATGCTGGATCTGTTCTGCCTGGCGTGGGACTCCTGAACGCTACCGCTTGTACAGGAGACGATAAAGGCGTGTGCTTTCTTTGTTCAGGACCTACCAAATCAGTATTAGCTCAAGTTTGTCATCTACAGTATAACAACGAATTGTGCAGATCAGTCTGTGTCTACAGGTGCAGGATGGCAGTGCATGTCAGTGTGCAGTGTTTTCCTCGAGTGACCCCTGGGACAATGCAGGAATCAGACCATAACTAACTCCATCTAGTTTCATCATCCAGTTCACCCACACTGAGATTACTGACAAACTCCTCTGTGCTCACATTGCTGTGCTTCCTTAAATGTGCTTTAAATCTAAACCAAAGCTATAGGTTTTATGCACAAAGTGCTTTCACTTGACGTTATGTGCCATTTGTATCAGTAGTTAGTTAACAAAAAGAAAAAGGAAACAGATGGTTTCTTGTCCATATTACCACAGAAGATCTTTATAGCCTGAAATGTTAAGTTTTAGTGACTGGAGAGGTTGTAATCTGGTGTCGTAAAGCGTTAAAATCATTAGTCATGTGCTGATTTCAGGGAGGCCAGTGTTGTTTCATTGTCATAGTGGTTCATGTGCTTTTGGTGCTGTAGTACTGCCCTCTATGCATTTGTGTCTTGTGTCTTTTCATGGGCATATACTGTAGCCCTCCCTCTCTCCATCCATCCATTATCTATCTGCCAATCCCAGCTGACATTGGGCGAGAGGCGGTCGCTGGTCTATCACAGGGCTGATACCATTCAAACAACCACACACACTCAAACTCACTCCTACGGACAATTTAGAGTCACCAATCAACCTAAGCTGCATGTGTTTGGACTGTGGGAGGAAGCTGGAGTACCCAAAGAGAACCCACGCAGGCACAGGGAGAACATGTAGACTCTGCACAAAAAGCCCCGGGTCAGCCGGAGTCTTCTGCCATGAGACAACAGTGCTAACCACTGTGCTTCCCTATCGATAGATTAGATAGATAGATAGATAGATAGATAGATAGATATTTACATTCTGTAAAGTCTTAAAAGGTCTGTTGAATGTGTGCTTAACAAGCAACTCCAGGGTCTCTACTTAATTAAAGTGCTCAAGTGAAGGAAACGAGACACTGGTCCAATGCCACGTAAACACACCACATGATCAAGAAAACCAAATGACAGAAGCATAAGGCAAACCAGACAACAGAGATGTTCAGGCACCAAACAATGTGACTGACTGTGCTTCATACTACAGTACATCTGTTCAGTCTCAGGTACTGGTGTTGACTCAGGGAGGGGCCACAAGACTGAGCCAGTGTGTCACTGGCTTGTCCATTGACCAGCAGAGACACCCAGTGGTGAAAACCACACATTACAGCTTATATACACCACAGTACATTTGACACATTATACCCCTAAACATAAACAGCCATACAACATTGAAAATAAAAAAGTGTCAGTTTTCACACCTTTGTTCACAGAAAGACATAAAAATGACTGTGGTGTTTATGAAATGATGTCCATAATGGTCACAATTTGAGGAATGTGCAAGAATTAAAACATCATCCTCTCAGGGATAAAGAATGATTGATCCACAGTCCATCATGGCAGTGAACATGTTACTTAATGCATCTTAACAACATTAGAGAGATAGTCTTGTAAGACATTGACATTTAAATGTCTAATTTCTGTATTGCTGAACAAACAGCCATGCAGGTGGAGCAGACAAAGCAAGATGTCCGCTCTCCTCTCCCTCCTCCATATCAGAAGAGGATCTGTATCTATGGTGTGTTGCCACGGCTTCCCCTGGGTAATGCAGCTCTATTTTTAAACCGGCAGGGTCACCGGGAGCTCTCATTCACTGGCAGACAACAACGCACACTCATGCATGCACATCTGCACACACACAAAGACAAATCCTCTTCTGTCTGCCTCTCTAACACGAGACAGGCAAGTGTGAAGGTGCCTGCTGATTAAAAACAAGCTGCTCTGCTTATGTCTAGTCATCCACCTACACCTTTGTCCTTCTAAGGCATTGATTAAAAGGAAAATGCTTGATGAAAATGATTGATTAAAATGGAAAAACTTTGTCTAGGCCAGCTGTGACTGGAACAGCACAGAAACAATGTGTGCAGTGCTGCTGGCAATAACTCTAGAGTCTGTTTGTATCAAGGAGAAAGGTTGTTGAAAATAATAGTGCCACTCTGTGTTAAGGCTCAGAGACACTCTAACAATAGTGGGCATCTGTGCTTCAGTGTTCATGAATATGGGGAATGTTTTTCCCTTGTTTTGCACTGCAGTATTGTACTGTATATATACGATTTATGATGACATCTCAGACTATTGCACATGTATGTACAGAATTCTACATCAATGGGGAAAGTAGGGATAGAAGGAGATCCACAGTTTTATGGGGACCTTATTTTGATTGGTTATTATTGCTGATGCATGATAGGCACAAGAAACTTAAAGATATAATTGGACGGTAACACTGTTCACACTGTCAGAATCATGTATTACATATTTTTATGAATCAATGTGTCAATCAATGTCATTTTGTTTGCACGATGAGAAGTGTTCTCATACATGTACAGTGATACAGATCAGGACAAGACGAGTGTTTTTTCTGCATCTCCTTCCATCCTCTTCCCATAAATACCAAACCAACTGAACCAGAATATGAGGATGATCTTCTAGAGCTGTCTCAGAAATAACCTTCTCCAGACTGATGAGTACATGGGATTGCTTAAAAACATACAGCTAAGTGTTTTGGCGTTGCACACACCTGTATCTCATCCAGAGCTTAGTACACAACAAAACTTGTACAATCTAACAGTGCAATGGACCTCTCCATCTGCTGACATCTCTACCACTGTAATACCTTGAAAGGAAAGAAAAGGTTGTCATATCTGGCGGGGCTCACATTCCATTGATCCCGTCATCTCAGTTGGGACTGACAAACAATTAGCAGCACAGATTCTACAGTGGGGACGAAGGGGAGAACCACAGGCAAGGAGTGATGGGGTAGAGAAGGGGGGGATGGACAGAGTTCTGGGGGTTAAGGTGGGATGAGTGCTGCAACAGCTGGCAGTGGATTTTCTTTCCCTCTTGACTTCCTATGTTTCCGCCCTTTTCACCCTGTCTCCCATCTAATGGATGGGAGGATCTAGGAGCTCAGTCAATTATAGCTCAGACTCAGGTGAGACGATGTTCTGATAGCCCGTCTTGGCGCTGGTGCCGTAGTTGGTGTTGGTCATCTCCTGGGTGCCACCAGGACCCAGGTAAGCACGGTGGGGGGGCATTGGAGAGGGAGCCTCACTGGGGTTCTTACTGAGGATGAAGCGCTGCTCATCCTGTTCTTCCAGGTTGGAGATGTCCTTCATCATGCCTTTACAATAGGAGACAGACAGCTTGTTGGAGCCGTCTGAGATCAGGTTGAACTGGCGGGCGATGAAGACCATAGGTAAAGGCAGCATGGCCACAACAATGAGGGCATAGGCCATGGCTAAAGCCCAGGGAGGATAGCTCTGGAAATGCTCTGTGCCCTAGCAGAGGGGAAGAGGAGGAACAAAACACATGAGTTACAGTATGAAAAGAGGAGAAGAGCTGGGGAGAGAAACACAGAGTGAGGGAGGAACACACTCAAAGACAGGAGGAATGAAGCACTGACCTCAGACTGCACCCAGACATTATATCCTGCAGGAATGACGGCCATCTCGATAATGGTGGAAGTGATAAGCACCACCAAGATAGCTGGCGACACGTACTGCCACATGTAGTAATAGAAAGCATATGGCCTGAAACCAAGCATGTCCTCCAAGTCCTGCATGAACCTTTGAAGGAAGAAAGCAAAGGAGAATAGAAATCTCAACAGAAAATGTTTCTATAAACCTTTTCCACTGCAGACATTCTGACATGTCACAGCACAAAAAGCAAAGGTGCAACAAAAAAAATAATGATGGCTAAATTCCATGATTCAGCTTCAGGATTCTGACATTGTGCACACTGGCTCAGTGTTACACTGTCATTGTTTATCAAGATGCTTGAACAGAACAAAGCCATCGTTGACATTAGCAGCAACACCTGTGCTTTTTCTGCATGACAAGTCAGAACATCTGCTATGAATAGGTTCTATTGTTTGTTGTTATTTACTCTTTCAAAAAAATATCTGTTAGCTTTAGCTGTTAGATTTGTTTGTTTTGGTTTGTAGCTCAGAGTAATCAACCGCCAGAAATTAAAAACACTCTGGGTGACAGGAAAAATCTGATTTTTGTGACCTTTGCATTTAGAATGAAAGAGAGAGCCTGATGAGTGGGCTACTATATGTAAGGCCACCTGACTAGTATCGCTACAAATTGATCAGTCATTGCAAAAAATTGTCTGACGTTAAACACGTTACCTGAAAATTAATCATATCCAAATATGGCTTCAGTCTACTGGAGTTACCTCTTAGTGCCGTAGATCCAGGCTACAGAGATGTTCTCCAGGATCACCACCACAGTGAGAGGCAGACCAGCTGAATAGTCATCAAACATGGCGACAAAGTAGTTCCCTGAACGCTGCACGAACAACAGGCCTAACAGGAAGGCTATGACACAGCAAACCACTGAAGGAGAAGGAAAAATCAATTCTGATTGAGAAATACTGTCATCTGATCAAGTACAGTGCAAAAAATGTGATCTGAGCAATACTCACCACAGAGGATCTCCTTTCGGATCTTGAAAGCGTCCAGTATGGGCGTGGTGATGCCAGTCATGGTGCCAATCATGCTTCCTAACCCCAAGTTGATCAGCATGAAGAAGAACATGACAGACCAAAAAGGACTGGCAGGGAAATGTGTCATGGCCTCCGTGAAGGCAATGAATGCCAGGCCAGTGCCCTGAACCGCCTGGATGATTGAGAGGAGGAGGTGAAGAAGTTCACATGGGCCAAAGGTAGTTAAAGTTTGCTAATGTGCTAATGTGTTGAAGTTTTTCCCACTCACCTTGTTGAGTTCGTCCTCCAGCACGCAAGAGTCCAGGCCCAGCTGGCCAAAGCTGTCCTCTTTTACTGTCTTAATGACGCCATACATCTCTGCATAGTCCTGGGCAGACAGGTGGGAGAAGTTGATGTGTAAAGGGATTATCTCTCTGCTCAGCACACCAGTGTTCAGGTAGCCCAGGATATTCCGTGTCAGTGAGTGAAGATTATAGTGAAAACAGGTCAGGAAGGATTTGTTACACACACTCACTCGACAACACACTTCTCGTTCATAACGTTTGCCTTAAACCCCAGGACAGCAAACACCACTAATGTGGCCAGGATGGAGGTAACAAAGTTGATTATGGAGACCAGTGCTGCATCAAAGTGGCAGTTGTTGTCTCGCTTGTTGTAGCTGGAGAAAGCAATGACACCTCCAAAACCTAGACCGAGGGCAAAGAAGACCTGCGTGGCTGCTTCTCTCCACACCTGTGGCTCCAACATCTTTTCCAGCTAGAGAGAAAAATAAAGCCAAAAAAATGAAAAACATTAGCACTAGATTGTTTAATAGCAATTTTAATTTAACTTCCTACAAACATCTTGAACAGAGATATTTTGCATCGAGTAGGATGAAAAGATTCCACTGTGTACAACAAAAGTTCTCATTACTTAATACATTCCCACAAAATTCAGCATATTTGGTATTTCTGCTCATTAACTTTGGAATTGTGATCAAAATTCAAAATAAAGTTCGGTTGGTTTGACTAGTTTTGCAAAACAGCGTGTGTTTGTAATGTCAGACTCACCGTGGGAACTGAAGAAAACCTGGATATGCACTATAGAGTAGAATTTCTTCAACAACTTATTTTTATATATTGTATTTAACCTCTAACTATTTTTAATTTTTTTCATTCATGTCAACAAAAGAGAGGACTTCATGCATTTCATGCTGCTGATGTAACATGCTACATTATGAGGTGAATCTGAGCTATGACAAGATCCTGAGAGTTGTGTCTTTTTATTGCTTTCTGTTCTCTTTTTGCAAGTGGCATTAAGGTTTTTAATGTTTTTAGGCACAAAATAATTTATATTACATGATCATTGCAATTGCAATTTTTCAGCATACTGTATGTAATGATGCTGCAGTTTGTTATGTAATAACACACATTCACCACTAGAGGACATCATCCTACCACTTGACATAATGTGGATATTTATGGTGTTTTCTATAAGTGGAGCTGAATGACCTCAGTGAAACCATCAACCAATTATAGAGGAACAGGTGGAGCTGAATGACCTCAGTGAAACCATCAACCATTTATAGAGGAACAATTTCCATCATAAGTCATTTATGAGTGACCGGCAGCAAGTTAAATGAACATTTCTTTCCCCTCAGCACTCCACAATTATCTTTTGGAGAACCAAAGCTAATTATCACAGATAATCTGGGGAGTAACCCAGGTCCT